GAAAGGAATGTGAGAAGAAGTGAAGAAAAAGAAAGCAAAAAGAAAAATGAAAACGAAAAGAAGCGGAAAAGAAAAAAGAAAGTGAAAAGAAAAGTGAAAACAAAAATAAGTAGAAAAGAAAAGGAAGAAAAGAAAGAATAGAATACAGGAAGAATTAGAGAAAAAGAAAAAAGAGAAAAAAAAAAGAAAATTGGAAATAAAAAGCGAAAATGAAAAAAAGAAAAAAGGAAAAGAAAAAAAAGATAAAAAAAAGAGTAAAATATGTGAAGAAAACAAGCAGAAAAAAGTGAAAAAAAAGTGAAAAGAAAACAAAAGTAAAGAAAAAAAAAATAGGGAAAAGAAAAAAGGAAAAGTGATGAAAAAAGAAAAAAAAGAAACAAAAATGAAGAAAAGAAAAAGAAGAAAAAGAAGAAAAAGAAAAAAAGTAGAGAAGAAAAAATGGAATACGAAAAGAAGCAGGTAACAAAAAAAAGAAAGCAAAAAGAAAAGTGGAAATGAAAAGAAATAAAAAAGAAAAATAGAGGAGAGAAAAAAGAAAGGAATGTGAGAAGAAGTGAAGAAAAAGAAAGCAAAAAGAAAAATGAAAACGAAAAGAAGCGGAAAAGAAAAAAAAAAAGGGAAAAGTAAAGAAGAAAGTATAGAAAGAAGAGAAGAAAAAAAATGCAAAACAAAAAAAAACAAAAAGAAAAAAAGGTAAGAATAAAAACTAAGCAGCAAAGAAAAAACCAAGCAGTGAAGAAAAGCAAGGCAGTAAAAAAAAAAACAAAACATTAAAGAAAAGCAAACTAAACAACAAAGAAAAGCAAATAGCAAAAAAACACATACCTGATTCTAAAGTGAAGGTTAAAATGAAAAAATAACAAAAACAAAAAGCTGATTATCAATTGTTTATATGTGATCAGCAATTTCAAAAATGATTGGCCGATCATATAAGAGTCACAGTGCAACAGGTTACCAATTTATTTTTGTTTAATATTTTACTTAAATTTATAATATTACATAGCTTTATCTATATACAAATATTATTCTAGTATATATATCATAATTGAAATTAAAGATCAAAATATTTTATTCTTGCTATAATATCTGTAATAATTAATACTACTTTAATTAAAAAAATAATTAATGAGTTAGTGGCAATAAAAAATAAAGAGAAAAAAGAAAAAAGTACATATCTATATTTTTTTATATATATTTATACTTATTTTATAGCTAGTTTCATGTGAAGTAATATTGATATCAATTGCAATACATAAAAATTGTGTAATTAGTGAAAATTAAAGGAAAGTTTATTATTATATAAAACAATTCAAAAATGTAATCAACTTAGAATCAAATGAGTATATAAAAATATCATTGAAAAAAATAAAAAAATATTTATTTCACTTTCATTACAATAAAAACAATAATATAAACTGCCTTCATACTAAGACATGCATGACTTGTTATTATTTTTATTATAATTGCTAAAAGTTACAACTGTATATATTTGATACTATTTTATTATTTTTTTTGAGAACTTGCTGTTTATAATTCGAATAATAATTGTATTTTTTAATTTTAAAATGTATAAAAATAATTTTTTTTTTCTAGAGTTTATTCAAATATATACAATTTACATGACCACACTATCAACTTAATTTCGTCACTCGATCCTAAAATGACCTTTTAATACAACTTGCTCCTCTGCATGTACTCCTTTTGAGCATTGAGTTATATAAATATGAAGAGAATTTATATCTTTTATGTTAATATGCTATTAATAATTTAGACACTTCATTGTGTCTACTTAAAAATCTTTATCCTATACATTCCTTATCTCTTTAATCTCTATATAACTACCCAGTAGGACTGTGAAGATGCACCAATCAGATCTCATCTAATAAATGATGCCAATAAGATCTTTGAATCAGGTGTAACATAAAAATCATGCATTTTTTAAAAAGTGCTGGTAACTCAAAATTTTGGCTATGAAACCACCTTCTGCACATTAACAAAAAATTTCTTGCAAAATTTTGATATAGGATATGCCTTCCTTCGGTCATTACTAGAGCTGCTGGTGAAACTAAATCACACTGGTGAAACTGGTTACAATCTAAAATCTGATTGGCTATTGAATTCAATAGCCAATCAAATTTTAGATACTCACCACTTTCACCAAGCTTCACCAGTTTTACCAGCAACTCTAGACATTACCCTAACTCTAACATAAAGTTTTATGACTTTACAATATTGCGCATATTCGTTTGTTTTGATTAGTGTAGATCATATGGGTCTTTCATATTAAAAGGGCCCATTTTGCAATATAAACAATTTTGAGATAATTGAGTTTAATCATTTGTTTTGATTTTCGGACTAAGCAAATTTCACGATTTTGATTGGCCAAACGTAACAGGTGACTATCGGGTAATCTCGTGCTGTGCTTGACCTTAGACAGCTTCGTACAATTTTTCTTTTAAATTATCTCTATTTTTTATTATGCAAATCGCTTTTCATTTATAATTGAAAAATGTCAGTCATGTTAAAATTTACATGAATCTAATAAAAACTCATTTTTCAAAAAATTTGCAAAATGGGCCCTTTTAATGTGAAAGACCCCATATGATTGGTGCATTTTTTACGGCCCTACTGGGGTAGCCATCTCTATATACCTATAATCATCCTTAAACACACCTTTACTTCCATTAATAACTCTATAATCTAGCACTTTACTGGTTTCCCTTGTGTCTTATACAAATCTCATACTCTTGATGCTCTTTTGCTTCTGTTAATAAACACGTAATTCCTATCTAATCCGATCTCGCGCAAAATTCTTTTCGTAACTATAATTTCATTACCATGATTCTATCATTAATACACGATATATAGATCCATTTAACTAACCTAACTATGGAGAATGAGACACAAAACTATTCTCAGATCTCGAGACAAAATATTGATCCATAATTTTTCGCTCTCATACAATGTACATAAATTTTGATCTCGTGTAAATGACTTTTCTTTACTTACTTTATTTACATATAACATAATTGTTACAATTTATATAAATTAATAGAATGAACATCAGACTCTCAACATTAATTTAATAAATTTATCCCTAACGCCAATGTTTTAACGTAGACATAGCAATGAATACCATTATTTACATTTTTATTGTTTAATCAATTTTATATTACAATACTTGCAGTTCCTTCAAAATATTTCGAACCTCTATTTCACATTATTTACTTTAGTGTCAATTTTTTAAAAAACAAAGCTGACGAATTAAAAAATCAATTACTCCTTTAAAAGATTTAAATATATCTTTCATAACGATGAACGCTAAATTCATGAATTCTATTAATTTAAAATACTCCCAATAAATATATTACCTCGTTTTGATCAATTTTTAATTAAGACAAATTATTCACACATATCGATATATGTTATAAATATCATTTTATTGTTAACAAGGCTCGAATATATTGCGCTTATTTTATATTATTTATATAACAATACCAACTAGCAAGAAATAAATAAAATAAATTGGTCATAATATAAAAACAAATACACGTATATTTGAATATCCAAATTGATTTAAAAACTTTCGTCCCGGAATTGCCTGTCATGATTTTAGTTTGTATTGAAATTACGGTCATAAATTCCATCAGAATTTTTATCACGTAGTTAGACAGTAACCGTAGTCACTGTTATCTTGCTCAAACGGTATATTGTACTTTAAGGTCTCGCTTGGCTTTACACACACTTTATTTTGTTATTAACATTAACTCTGATTATTAATATACTATGACTCACTACCTTATACTTTACATTGCATTTCAATAAACTCTTAAATTTTACTAATTTAATTGTCATTGACTCGTGATCGACGATCACGGTACCCCACATACCCGATCTTCGTAATGCCGCCCAACATTTCCACGTCACGTCGATCATAATTCCGGTCAATCCCATCGTCACGTGATATGTTCGTTTCATCTTTCGCTTTACCAATTCAGTCCGTATTAACTGCTTTATTACAAGCTTCGCTACCAATTAACATTCCTCTAAGTAGAAGGGTTCACCAAAAACTATGCACAATTTTACTGTAAAAAATTTTGTTACAAATCTTATTATTGCGGTAATATATATTATGTAGTTGACATTACATTTTTTCGGCATTCCTTGTTTGAAACAAGACATTTCACCGCAAGAATTTCCCGACATATAATTCTAACCAACACTAATTCTAAATCAAGCTAAATAAACCAATTTTATATCAAAGAAATGATTATCGGGGAAATGTCTTTCTAAGAAAGGATTGTCAAAAAAATGTGTCAAATATATGTCTTATCAAAAAAATGCGCTGTAGATAAAATGTCATGTCGACATTACAGTGTCGGGAAATGAATTGGCAGGTAAATAGCTTTTGGGGAATCGAGCAACAACCACCAATTAAATTACTAATATATATATTTCTCCTAATCATATTATCCATTTATATCCAACCACCATTTAGATCTTCTGTTCCTGGTTTCGCGCGATGGCGTCGCGCAGCTATCTAGTTTGGATAATCTGAATTTTTAGAAATGATCAGCAAATTTTCTTATCGGCAACTTGTGTAGCCATGCGTCAGCTACACTTTCTCGATTCAATTTAATGCAATGCTTGTTAGATATATATCGAAATTTGAAGGTATTGTCACAAATTCTATTTTGTGACATTAGAGAATACGAATTTTCTTCCAATCCCGATTTGTAAATAGATCATCATCTTTTCTTATTTAGTAAATATATTTTGATTCTTATTTTGTATAAGCCATTAAATATTGGTTAGCATCGAGGTTAAAGCTTGTATGTTTTTATCATCTAGAAAATGATTGCTCCTTTTGTATATATTATTGTATTACATAGCACGTTAACGTGTACGTAGCACGCTGATTGCAATAAGGGGCAAAAGTTCCTTGATTTTGAAGGTCCGGGATAGTACGTCAACGTGGTGGGCTAAAATTTCTTGAATACATTAGCATGTTAAATAGCACGTCAACGCGTAGTACGTCAACGTGTAGCATAATTAACAAGCACAGCTTTTGAGTTTAATAAAGACAGAGATTCCCTTCAATTTTACCTGTAATGATAAAGGAAGTAAGCTAGTGTTGAGCCGAAGAGGCCTTTATCAAGAAAAAAAAATGAAAACCTATCTCTCAGTCACAAAAGTCTAGAATTGTGGTTGCTTAAATTTGAAGATATACAGCAAGTATAAAAACTTTATATTTATATACAATCTAAATTTTTGAAAGGAAAATTATTTTCCTGCATTTAAGCAAATATTAAATAGTAAGTTAAGTTCTGTTTCTGGTTTTGTGCAATGGCATTGTGCAGCTATTGAGTTATATATTTGTGAAAAATTAAGGAACTCTACCCTATTCAATGGATTTCACACAGGATTT